CCCTGGCCGGGGATCAAACTCAAGCCATTGTTGTAGTGATAACACTGAGACTAAACCCCTATGCCACCAGGGAAGGACCCCAGAATATTTTTAAATGTTTTGCTTACTGCTTATTTCTAGTAATGCTATGCCAGAGATTGTTCATGTCAGTATACATATAGCTACCTTATTTATGTTGATAGGTGTGTAATATTCTATAAAATAATTACACTGTAGGCAGCTAACCAGATAGGTTCCTAATTAGCTTTTGGGAAATGAATATGGAGATTTTCTTACTATTATTATTTTTGTTGCCAGTAATACAGTAGTTCTTTTTTAGTGTACATGATTAGGTTGTACTCCCACATTTCAGCTTAAGTAGGTTTGCTACTCTAGACATAGAAATAATTTTTTATAGGTACTCTTCATAGTAATTCTCCATTACTGGTAAAGAACTACTGAGTTGAAGTTTCTTTGTAACAACAGTCTGCAAACTTTAGTCCTCAGACCAATCTTTTGATGGGTTCATCAAAACACAGACGACTGAGTCCTACTCCTACAGTTTGCTCATGTTTGCGGGAAGTGGCCTGAGATTTTGCATTTCTCACATTACTAATTGGTGCCACTGTGCTCTGGAATCGTTATTTCAAGCATCATTTGGTTTTAACTCCTGCTTTGTTCAGTTTTGTGCTATTCTTCATATAAGTTTTGTTTGTCTGAGATGAAGTATTGTCTAAGTTACTACCTATAGATCAGAATGTTTATATTAATAAGAGTGACACATTAATATAACAAATGCAAATGCTTTATACCAAAGAAAGTAGTTCATCATTGAATAAATAGGAGGGGCAGTGATTCACATACCACAGCTGATTCGTATTATTTAGATTTCTCAGTCTCTTTCTAAGGCATCTATTTTTAAAGCTCCAAAAATGATTCTGTTGCTGCTCACTGGTTGTCCCACCTGTAAAGTTATCAAAATTGTACCTATTGTGTGGGGTGGTTATATAAGGATTCTATGAAGTAACAAAGTATTTAGAACAGGGCCTGGAATATAGTAAATATGCAGTAAGCATGCACTAAGTAGTTATTGATAAACCAACTCTGCATCCAGGCCTCACCAGGAATGAATTGCCTCTGCTTTTGTATGTAAGTATCCCCAGGGCCATTTCAGGCAAGCCCATCAGCCACCTCTTCTCCAATCCTGATCTCTTTCTGAGGTCCTCATCAACTTACACCTAGGCATCTCGCCCTCCAGCCTGTATCATCAAATTGAGCATGTCTGAAGCTGACCTATACCACCTGCCCTCTTCCAGACCTCTGCAGCATTCCATCTTAGAGAATTAGAGCCATCTGGCTCTCAAATGCCCAAGCCAGAAAATTAGGTATCATTTATTCATAATAAACTTGTTTTGGAATAAGTTTGTTTTTTTCAGAAAAGATGCAGAGATTATATTAAAACCCCAACCTTTATTAACAGCCAGTTTCCCCTTTTCTGTTTTAGGTTAACAACCCAGGACAGTCACATTTGCATCTTTTCTGATGCCTTTTTTTCCCTCCTACCTTCAGAGAGGCACAAGTTATGGAGTTTTTACTTCCTAAATCTCCTAGTAAATTTCCCTGTTATCCTGATTTACTCCCCTTATCATTTAGACAGTTTTAACAACTCTCCTAACTTATCTCTAGGCTTAGTCATTCCCTCTGCCATTGTTTGTATTCTAAAAATCAAATTTGTCCATTCCTCTCCTCACTTAAATTTTTGTGATGGTTTTCCATTACATATAGAATAAACTCAGTTTTTTTTTTTTTGTTTTACATTTTAGCCATTTCTTTCCCATCCTTACTCTCCTACATCCTTTCCCTCTTCTATGCCCTCTACAGCTTACTATTCAACTAAATGTATGTGGCCTCAGCATATTTTTATGACCACACACACACAGCCCTCTCCACTCTATAAGAAGAGTAGCATTGCTCCATAGAACATAAAGATTTGGATATTGTGATTGCATCTGAATCCAGGGCACTCTGATATTTTCTAGTCTAGATTTTACTTTTAATGCCAGCTTTGTCTTAAATTGATAATTTGGAGTTTGAAAAATGCTGAAAATTCACTGACTCTAACACTCCCAGTCAAATGCTGCTCAGAATGGTCCTCCATTTGGTTCCCATCTGCTTTCAGGTGGTTAAAACACACACACACAAATTTATTCCTTCCAAGGTTTGGGGTAAGGGGGATTGGTTGGAGACGAGAGCAGCTGTTTGCCTCAGGGTCGGGAAGCTGGTCCCTGAAGTGAAGAGGTTGGGAAAACTGACAAGTAATCTCTTAAGAGATGGAAGAGGGTGCTGAAATAGCTTAAGAAGCTCAGTGTCACCAGCTGAGCTAAATGGCTTAGCCTTCTCTGCCTGAATCCTGGTTAATGCCTGAAGCCCAGAGTTCTTCAAAGTCTATATCCTTGCGGTGGTGCATTGAAGCAGCATAGGTGCCCAAGCAGAAGAAGGGGCTTTCTGAGGATTCTTTCTAGATGTCTTTCTAGCTCACTTAGCTCCGTGTTTGAGGAGAGAGAGGTCTGCAGCTTAGCCTGACACCTTACTTCATGAGGTCTGAGGGAAGGAATGTTGTCAAAGACTGCCCTTTCCTTATTCCTCCTGGAATAATAGGATTCTTTAAAAGAAAACAGGAAAGTCATCTTTAAATGAATATACACTCCAAAAATCAATTATTACCCAGTCAATACATTTAATTTACAGATAGTTGCTTTGTATATAAAAACTAAACTGTAAACTATACTTTCGGTTTAATCATCTACTTTTCTTAGGGCTGAACCCAGAGTTAGCTAGTCAAAGATGAAAACATAATTTACTATGCTATGGAAAAAGAAAACTTGCTGGGAGAAGTTGAATGTGAGACCTCTTTAGACGCACCTCAGCCACTTATCTTCATTCCTGAAGTGCGACTTTTGATACTGTGGCCTCACTGTGTGGGCAGAGCAGCGCCTGGGAGCCTTGTGCTGGGAGGATCACTTGCTGGGCGCAGGCTCATGGGCCTCTGTAGAGGGCCTTGTAATGCAGTAACAGTGAAGGGAGAGGTGGGTCGGAGAGGTGGGTCAGACGTGAGTCCTCCTTACTTGCTGGTTAAGTTGCGTTGAGCTATAGGTTTCTTAACTATGAAATAGGCCTTAATGAGACTACACAGTTCACTTAAAGTTGTCCACCACTGAAAAGTTAATGGTTTCCCAAAAAGAGCTCAGAGCCTTTTATTGAATTGTTACTATGTGTTAGGTGTCTGTTAGCCCACTTGATGTTTTAGTAGTAGACTGTCTCTCGCCAGGCCCAGGGCTTTGGTTAAAACAGGACATACTTCCAGGCTTTCCTTCATTCCTCCTTTCATATGGAGGGTTGAAGAAATAAAACTTATTTTGGTAAGAAATCATATCTTGGGATACCTCCAAAGAACCAGGGCAAAAAATAAATTAAAAAACAACAACAAAGAACAGGGGCAAGAACATTCCAGGCAAAGCGAACTGTGAGTGCAATGGCCCGGAGACATATAACAAAATGACAATTGAAGAAGCAGGAAGTAGATCAGCAAGCAATCAAAAGAATAGTTTAAGGTATAGTTGAAGCAGCTAAAATTCAAATCATTGTAAGGCCTTAGTACAGTGCAAGGTAGAACAGTGAGAACAGGGAGGCCATCTGGAAGATAATGTAGTCTTGAGGTTTGGGATGGTGGCAGAGGACATAGAAAGGGATGAACTTTCTTATGCCTTGTCTAAAGACTCAAATATGACCCCCCAGTTTCTGACTTCAGCAACTTGGTAGAGCAAATTGGCACTTTTGACTTAGGTGGGAAAGCGGAGTGATCAAGATTTGAGTACTTAGAAAGTACCTTGGATCTAAATTAGATACCTGTTAGACAACCCAGTGATAACATCAGATAGACAGTTAATATTGGGCCTGGAGTTCAGGAGGAAAACCCTGAGGAAGGCACCAGTTGGAGATCAAATAGAGAAGGAACCAAAGTTAGAACCAGTGAGGTCAGAAGAAATCAGGAGAAGTTGAAAGTCATAGAGAATGTTTCAGAAAAGAACAAGCAACCAGCCTTGTCAAATGCTCCAAGTCCAGAAAAAAAAAATCCCTTGTATTTGACATTGTGGCCAGTCATGATCTTGCTAAGTGGATTTCAATAGATCATTGGAAATGTCAGCCAGACTGAAGTAGGTTGAAAAGGTAATTAGAATGAGGAAGTAGAGGTAGGGATGTAGCAATTTTTCAGAAATTAATTGCAAAGGAAATAAATGGGAAAGAATGTTGTTATGTAAGGTAAAATATCCTAGAGGGATACAGGAAATAAAAGATGCCTGAAAAGGGCCCTCCTTGGTGGTGCAAGGTTAAAGTCTATCAGCACTATCAAGCTGTACCACCAGCCACTAACATGAGCTCCATCCCCCGCCAGGTTGCTGACCTGTGTGGCCCAGCAGACTTCTCCTGTCTCTGGAGACTGCTGCTGACCTCAGCAGTGTGTTTCAGCAGACAGCCTGTTCTGCTCCCCACTCTGTCTCTGGTGAATCCTCTCACTGCACCCGCCCCCAGCCCCCAACTCTGGCCTACACCTTAGTTCTTCTATGCTAAAAAAAAAATTTTTTTAAAGAGTTTTCCCAGAATCTAAATTGCCCTCCCTTTCTGTCCTGAAATTGAGGTTTTTCTTATCAGTTCATTCCATCTTTCTCTGGAAATGCTTTTCCCTGTGGAGTCCCTTCAGGGCATTCTTTCCCTCTAACACTCCAGGGTCCACTTGACATACAGCTGAAACCACACAAGCCAGACAGACCCACCATCTGCACCCCTCCACACAGTGGTACCCACAGCTCCACATGGGGTACCCCTTGAAACCCCTTCCTACCCCATGCCCTCCTAGTTCCTAGGTATCACCTCTCCTCAAGGAACTGTCTCCTCTTTGGAGGCAGATCCAGGGCTCGGATGAAGAAGTACAGGTAGGGTTTCATGTCCACTGAAAGGTTTTATTCAGAGAATGAGAAAGTAATGGGAGAGTTTGGGGTGGGGGGGGCGGTTTACATAACTGCAGGGTGAAGAGAAACAACAGCAAATACAAAATCCCAGCAACAGCCTCAGGGCCCCTGACACCTTCCCTCCCAGCCCACCCCGAGCCCTTGGTGAGCAGGTGTTCTCTCCATCTTCATCCAGTCGGCATCTCAGTGCCTGAGCAGAAAACAGGCAACGAGTTCGCACTTGGATAAATAAGTTGCACTGGACATATTTAAACTTTAAATTTAATTACAATATATATAAATAAATAGAACAGACAGCAACAGGACAGTGAAGTGCAGCCTGAATTCAAGTTCTGCAATTTGTGCTTCATCTTCTCAGTTTCTTGAGGGTCCCTCCTGCCCACTTTCCAAAAGTGGGAGAAGTCCAAAGAGCCCACTGGGGCCTCCTGCCAGTGCCCCTTTTCTGGGGGGTAGGAGATTCTGCGGGGAGCGGAGCCAACTCCTCAGTAGCACCTCTGATCTGTTGTCAATAGCCCTCCCGCCATCAGGAGAAACAGCAGGGCCTTGACCCCAGGAGCACCCACTGCTGCCCAGACACCTTAAGGTGTGGGACTCTACTCCAAAGCCAGGCTCTTCCAGGGCCTTTCCCTGCCCAAGCCCTTTCCTATTCCAAAGGCCAGGAAACTGCACACGTGAGGCAAGCCCTGCAACCTTATCCGCAAACCAGATGCCTCGCTTGGGCTTTTTAGACAAACACCTGTGTGTGGCCTGACTCCAACCCCACCTTTTAATCTTTTCATGTGCACCCCCCGGGGCTGAGACCTAATTTCAGGCCACGGGAGCCTCTTAGGCGTGCGGTGGGGAAGCATTATTTCCGATGCTTGGCATCCTTCTCTGAAGCCTTGGTGTCACCATGCCCGCTGCCTGCATTGCTTAGAAACATCTTGTCGAGCCCCTTGAGTGACTCCAGCAAGTAGTTCTGGAAGGCAGTGAGGGCAGCGCAGATGGCAGGCCCACCGAAGCCGTGGGTGATAAGGCTGAAGTGTGTCAGGCAACTCTGCACCCCTGGGTCCAGGATAAGTGCAGGCCGGCTGTTGCCCAACGGTGAACGGTCCTGAGCCATCAAGTCCACAAATTCCTTGCAGATCTGCCTGGTGAGAGAAGGAGAGCTGGAAGTCAGAGGACAGAGCTAAGCCAGAGAAGGCCCCACCATATGCTGGGCACTTTGTCTGTATTACATATAT